AAGTCCTAAAATAGGCCATTCATTGAAGGTGCGCCTTATAATCCGGTGCGCCTTATAGTGCGGAAAATACGGTAGTTTATGTGATGAGTTCAGAAGACACACAGTTACATCAGGTGTTTTCTAATTGCTGCTGCCGCTAGTCTGGAGGAGCTGAATGTGGGAGGGACTTGCAACACGAGGAAGCTGTAAGTCAAGTTCTTGATCTATCACTGTTTCTCGTGGTGTTTTCAAATCTATACAGTCGTCAATCTGTCAAAAAAAAAAAAAACTTTTATACCTGGTTACCAAAAATGTTGCCTCAGAATATATATAAATAAATAAATATCAGAAAATGGTTGAATTTTCTCTAATATTTATTTAACCATTAGTTGTTGGACAGCCAGACAAGATGGTTTTAAAAGTCAACAGCTCTTTTATTTGAGACCAACTTTGTTTCATACTTCAAAAGTAATGTTTCAGGGGTGCTGTGGTGGCACAGGGGCAAAGCACAACCCATGTATTGAGGTCTTAGTCCTTATGCTGGTGGTCGCAGGTTCGATTCCCAGCCCAGTGATATTTACCACATGTCTTCCCCCTCTCTCATAACCCTCTTTCCTGTCAAACTACCTTCAAATAAAGGCCACTAAAGCCAACAAAACATTAAATTAATATGGGCATAGACACTGACCACTCTTAAATTATAACTGAAGTAATTGTGTGTGTGTGTGTGGGGGGGGGGATACATTAGGTAACACTTTATTTGAAGGGGGTTGAATAAGACTGACATGACACTGTCATAAACACCTGTCATGAACATGAATAAGCCTTCATAAACATTTATGACTGTTGTCATAAAGTGTCATTCGGTAAATTATGACACTTTTAATACAATTCATTACTGATATAAATTTGTTATAAAAGTTTTACTGTTTGCACTTTAAAATTAGGTAACTTTATGTTATTAAAGGTAAAGTTTAAACAGTAATGATTTCTTGGTTAATGTCAAGTTGTCATAACAAAGACATTTTGAATAATGTCAACTTTGTATTAAAAGTGTCATAATTTACCGAATGACGCTTTATGACAACAGTCATAAATATTCATGAAGGCTTTTTCATGTTCATGACAGGTGTTATGTCATGTTTATGACAGTGTCATGTCAGTCTTATTCACCCCCCTTCAAATAAAGTATTACCGTACATTCATTATAAGACATAAAAAAAAGTTGGACAGAAAAATTTGTGTATATCAGGAATTAAGTTTTTAAACTTGGAATAATAGTTGCTAGGATTGTTAATTGTAATTTCTCCCCCACCCCCGATCAGTTGTAAAAGGAGGTTTCATTTTCATGTAAATGGGTTTTAAATTAAGAGACTGACAGTGGGAGTTTTTATAAGGTTCATACTCAGAGAAACTTTTCTTCACCTTTCTTGACATTTTAACGGAAACTTGAGGCTGAGGATGTGCTTTGGTTTTTTTCCACTTTGTTTCAGTTTCCTTCAAAAGAGGTTTTAATGATTTCTTCAGAAACGGCAGCATGTTGGACTTAGTTTCAGTTTTCTTCCAACTGCAGATCTCTTAGAAATCTGTAAAAATCCTTTCAAACATGAACAGATTCATATGTTCAGGGTTTCTGATATTATAACCCAACAAAACTACACAAAAATGTCCAGAGTAAATCTTTTTTTATTCAAAAAAGAGATAAAACAGGGGTGTAATTCTTCCATATCTCTGATATCAAATTGTTAACCATCTTCACTTTCACTGAACACAAAAAACACAATATCAAGGGTAATATGAAACATGAATATATTTTAATACTTTTTTATTCTTTCAACTTTTTCAAGACGCAATACGTACTTGAAGTGTCAAATTGATATTAACATTCTCACAGATATATTTATTACTAAATACCTCTAAAATAAACAGTTAGATAAAATGTTTGTGGATGATTCTAAATGCGTAGGTAGACATGCATAATAAATCAGATTCAAACAGTGTTTTTCTTAAGAACTGGTGCTGGCTGTGCTCTCAGTCTGGCTTCAACTCCAGATGAAAACATGTGGAATGAATTAAGAATGATCCAAACAACCGCACTTGTCTGAAACCGATTAAAAAAATACTTTCCATCATCTTCCCCCTGCAACTGAGCCAAAGTTTCTCTCCTTGAAAACATTTATCTTTCTGCATTCATAGTTCAGAAAAACAGGCTAGCTTATATCCACATTTCACAATTTATTTACTTTAGACTGTGCAAAAAGAAACATTATAAAAGTAGCACCACATATTGTAATCTGTCAATGATTCACAAGAGCTGTTTGTTTAAAAATAAAAATCATTTTGTCTTTGAAGGACTAGTGCTATCAAACAAAACTGTATAATAAATGTATTATTATTATTATTATTATTATTATTATTATTATTATTATTATTATTTAATCTGCTTACAAAATATAACAGAAGCAATTTACTCACCACAAACAGAAACTGTGATAAAAAGTATCTGGTTCAGTGTGATTCGATTTCTGCTTGAGACAGTTTGTCATTAGCTTTCTATCTGATTTGCATCATATGAGAGAGGAATCTGCATACCTCTTAAATCTCAAAGTGAAATCCCTTGTTTTAATTTGTGCAGCCTGCATCAGCAGAGAGAGATTCAGTTTTCTTTGTGAAACCATTTTTGGAGCAAATGTGTCTTGTTTGTAACATTTTAGAAATAGAAAATTAGAATCAGAATCAGCTCTACTCACCCAGTTTGTATTAACAAACAAGAATTTTGACTTTGGTTTTCAAACCTTTGCAATATAAAGACAAAGTATAGATATGTAAACTGAAAAGAAATAACATTGGAGTAAATGAAAAATAGGTACATGTGTTTGCAACCAATTAATTTTTCTACATAAAGGGAAACAGGAGGTTTGATATGACTGAGCAAAAATGCACGAATGTATTTAGATGAACATTACTTTGCAAGCTTAAGAGAAATTACATCATTTATCTCCCCACAACCTTTTGCGATATTTATGTCTGGATATTTGGCTATTCCTTTAGACAAAAATGGTAAAACTTATTATATTTATGCCTCTGATGATGAGTACACTGAAGCTCCTCAATGTAGTCTTTCAGATTTCAATGGAGCTTGAGGCTTCAGCTGACTCAGACCAAAAGGAAGATTCAGATTTTAAACTAGTCTTCAGCTTGCAGCCCATAGACCTCAGGATATTCAGCAGCTGATGTTGAAACTTCAGCCCTACGAAGGCGTACAGGATAGGATTAAGGCTGCAGTGAAGGTACCCCAAACTCTCAGTCACTAGCCGAGCTATCTGCAGAGATGTTCTTGTTCCACATGCTGTTCCACTATTGTTGTTTTGGTGAATTGTGTCCACAATGAGTGTGATATTAAGTGGAGTCCAGCAGATAAAGAAAACAGCCACCACAGCTACGATGACTTTGAAAGCTCTCTGCTTTCGAAGGCCTTTGGTGCCACACCCTAGCTGCAACAGGATGCAGGAGTAGCAAAAGACCAAAACAAATGAAGGAAGCAGGAAGCCCAAAGTGTGGTACAGCCACCGGGCTGTCATTCTCAAGATATAGAAATATTCTGGACTAATCTTAAAGTAGTTATGAACACACTCTGTTCTGCTTCGTCTCACATCTTCCACGGCTTCTAAAAAGTACCAGTCAGGGATGGAGAGGATCAGGGAGACTAACCACACCACCAAGCAGCTGGCTTGCACCACCCAGGGCTTCCTGCGAGTGTACATCTTGGTAGAATGGACGATGAAAAGGTAGCGGTCCACGCTGATGCAGGCAAGGAGGAAAATCCCACAATACAAGCTGACCTGAAAGTAATAAGAAGTCAAACACTGAGACATAGTTGCACTTTCAGCTAATATTCCTCACTGTACATTCTTACTGTAAACACGGCTCCAGTGATCTTGCAGAGCGGGGTGCCAAAGGGCCATCCAGCCAGACTCGCAGACTGTGCAGCCCAGAGCGGCAGCAGCAGCAGCAGCAGGACATCCGCCAAAGCCAGGTGAAGGATGAAGGTGTCTGTCACGCTCCAGGTCTTCCTGTTCTTCATTAGCACGGCTATCACCAATCCATTTCCCAGGATTCCAACTACAAACACCACTGAGTAGAGGACTGGGATGAACACCGCCTCAAAATCCATACTCTTGGTCAGGTCGCAAACATCAGCATCCTCGTAACCGTTGTCTTCATAAAACGAATCGTTGCCATAGTAATCAGGTAAATCATCTACAAGATCGCCCCACCATGGATGTTCATCTGATGATGTCACAGCAGCTTCCATAATTCACATCTGCAAGAAAGGAAGATTGTTTTACTTAGTGTTGGTTTGTTCATCGAGTTCTGAAGTTAGAAACCAACCATAAGATGTATCAAGTCTAAGTGGTCGCCCCACCATGGATTTAGCTCAGCAAAAATCAGATCCATGAAAAATTTCTGTTTAAATTGCCTCCTGACAACCTCAGGCAATATACATTTGCCTGAGGTTTGGACCATAGAGCAGCAAAATGACTAGAGCTTTCCTCCTACCAATGGTGATTCACTAAGATACCAGTACTGGGAATCCTGTCCAGTTTACAGTTGAATGAAGAGTTCCGTGAACTATAGAAGGAAAAACCGAGAAGAAATTGAGAAGTGAAAATGGTCCACACATCAAAATGAAATATGGGTGGGCACTATTGGGAAAGAAATGCAGATCTCTTTCTCTTTCTCACTGTTCATTCAATGTCACATGTTGTTTTTATTTTTTATTATGTAAAGCACTTTGAAATGCCTTGCTGCTAAAATGTGCTATACAAATAAAATTTGATTGATTGACTGATTGATCTTATGGTAAATGTCTAATAAATGTTTATTCCTTGAAGCAGAAATGACCCCATTGGTTTATTGCCACCACTTTTTTTTTTATCAATGGTGGTGTTTAACCACAGACTCAAAGATCTACATTAAAATTTATAACAAAAATCTCCCTCACTCATTTATTGTACCTATTCATTTGAGCTCAGAGTTAAAGATTAAAAAAGTCTTTCCCGGGGAACACTGGTGATCTAAGACAGTGGCCTCTTCACAGTCAAAATCAGAAAGCTGCAGTCAGTATAGAACTAGTAGTTCTCTTAATGTGAATGTTTTTGAACCACAGGAAGGATCCAGAGAAACCACAGAACAACTGTGAAGCTAAATTCACACAGAAAGACCTGAAGCCTTTTTCCAACTTCAACACTCCTGCAATACTTGTAAAACACTGTGTAGTTTATTCATTATTGTTATTATGTTTACTCTAGTTTGAAATACCTAAACTGAAACTGAAACAAACTTTTTTTTTAAATCAATGACATAATTTTATAAATGAATTTAAGTACAAAAAGAATCAGATCTGAGCATTAAAAAATAAACACAGCATAAATTATCTTACCAAACTGTATGTTGTTGGATGCTGTAGGTCACACAAACTGGGCAGAAATGGCTTTGAAAGGATTCTGGATGGCTTACAATAGAACTGAAGGAGGAACTATCCATTCAAAGAAGGAATCCCCTCTTGACCGAGACCACAAACGGGGAACTTTTGTAGATTTCTTTAAGCCTTTTTATTTTCCCATCTTCTACAATTGACAAAAATAAATTAAGGTTCATATGTTCCTGTTTAAATTGGATTGTTTACTTGCGATCCAGAAACAAGTGCAGCTGTGTTATCTTGAGTTTTATTCCAAACAGCAAAAGCATGAATGTATTTAGATTTTATCAATTGATTTTAACTGGAAGAAGAGCTGTGGGAATTCCTGAAAATGATGTGGTGCCAGACATAAAGGAACAAGTAATTCCTCAGTTTGTAGAATGTGCGTGTTGCTCAAACCACAAAAAAAAAAAATCACAAAGCCGATGTTCTGCTTTACCTAAGTGTGAAAAAAATTTAATGACAACCTGTCCAAGGTAACTAAGTGGTGTTCAATTTTTTATAAACAAAGACAGCAGACAACCTTATATTTTATTATTTTTTATTTTAGTAATTATCACTTCACATAAAGATTGCAAGTTTTCATGGTAAACTGAATCAAACACACTTTTTAAGAATAAAAATGTTTTTATTCCGCAATTAAACATTCAATATAAAACTAATGCAATCAAATGTAGCAAAATAAGAAACTATATACAAAATGTCCTTTAAGTATATAAAACACTGTAACAATGTAACCCAAGTCACCATATCTTACATACCGGTAGCTGCCTGGTTATCAAAAATGCAAAAACATCATGTTTCTTGTTGACATATAACATATGCATAGTGCCAAATAGGGAAAACATGTCTGCTAAATGCCACTGTCCTTTAATGTCACTGTCAAGTGAGATAGTTCATCGATGTTTAGAAGAATCTGTCCTCTTGTCAGTTTTTAACATGTTTGAGAGTCTGTTTTGTAAAAACAAGCAGCTTATATATTTTTCCTTTTAAACTGCAATGGAGTTGGAGGTTTCTCCAGAATTTGACCAAATGGAGCTTCTCCTGGTGAAAGACTCTAATTTTATATTTGTCTTCAGTTTGCAGCCCATAGACTTTAGGATGTTGAGTAGCTGTCGGCGAAACTTCACACCCACAAAGGCGTAGAGGATGGGATTGAGGCTGCAGTGAAGGTATCCCAAAGTCGAAGTCACAGTCAGAGCTATGTCCATAGAGTTTCTTGTCTCACATGTTCCTGTATTGTTGTTTTGTTGAACTGTGTCTGCCAAAAGTACCATGTTATATGGCGTCCAGCAAAGAAAGAAAACTGCCACAACAGCTATTATGACTTTGAAAGCCCTCTGTTTTTGGAGACTTTGGGAGCCGCACTGCAGCTGTAACAGGATGCAGGAGTAGCAGAAGACCAGAACAAATGAAGGAAATAAAAAGCCTACAGCATGGTACAGCCAACGTGCTGCCATTTTTAATTTCATCATCTTTTCTGCATTTGTTGTGTATTTTGAATACTCCCGAACACAAGACTTTCTGTTTTGTCTGACATCTTCCGTGTCTTCTAAAAAGATCCAGTCAGGGATGGAGAGGATGGCAGAAAACAACCACACCAAAACGCAGCTCGCATGAACAACCCAAGACTTCCTTTTGGTGTACATCTGGGTAGCGTGGACGATGGATAGATAACGATCAACACTGATGCAGGCTAGGAGAAAAATCCCACAGTAGAAGTTGATCTGAAATCCAAACAAATCAAAGCAAAAAATCAAATACAGGGAACATTTAAGCAAGGTGTCACTTCAACTGTAAAATTCTTACCGTAAAAACAGTTCCAGTAATCTTGCAAAGGGCAGTACCAAGCTCCCATCCGGCTTCACTTGCAGCCTGTGCAGCCCAGAGGGGCAGGGTCAACAACAGCAGGACGTCTGATACGGCCAGATGAAGGATGAACGTGTCTGTCACACTCCAACGCTTCCTGCTTTGAAAGAGGACTCCCAGCAGAAGTCCATTCCCCAAGACACCAACAACAAACGCCACCGAGTAGAGAGTTGGTATAAACAAGGATTCAAAATATGTGCCATTCTTCAGGTCGCAAACATCTCCTCCCTCTATGTCACTACCATTAGAATAGTTATAGTCTGTTAAGTTATCAATAATGTCGATCCACCAGTATTCTTCTTCTGGTGGATTCATAGCCTCGCTCATCTTTTCCATCTGTAAAGAAAAAGGAAAGTTTTTACTTTGGTTTGTTTGTTGAGTTGTTAAGCTTGGATCCAACCACATGGGGGTGCTATCAGTCTGTTAAGCTCCAACTTAGTTATTTTCACATTGGTTTTGACTGAAGCATGACAATATTTCTGCCTGTGAGGAAAAGGATTTTTTCTTTTTATGACACTCACTTTAGTGAGTGCAACACTTTAGTTTGGTTTAATCAAATATGGTTTAAATTTTTGAAAAATAACATAATAACATTCATAGTTATCTTTTCTTTTTTTTTCTCATTAACATGATTATTACAATAAACAATCTTCTGCAATTTGCATAAAAATATTCAGGATTATGAATACCGAAAAGTTATCAGCACATCGTCATTTGTCACCATCAATTTTGGTGTCATTGCCCCATATTTCACACTACTACTTCCTATCAGTTACTGTCAAAATTATTACCAACAAAATGTTCACGCTTTAAAACACTTTAAAACACTTTAAAACATTAAATCACAACTGTTTAAGGAAACGTAACTGCACACCTGCTGAATCACAAGTCAACTTTCCAGAATATAATGGCAGAACATGCGGAAGATTTATTGGGCTGTAACTTAAAATTAAAATCATAAAATTAAACAAATTTGAAAGTTAATCTTATAAAATAAAAAGTTGCGTATGCTCATCAATGGCTTACTATGTACTGAAAGTAGGACAATTCTGAAAAAAGGAAGTAAATAACTTACCAATTTGTATCAGTCAAATATTGTAGGTCTCGCAGGTGCTCAGCAGAAATGTGCTTATTACAATCCAGTGCCGCTATTAACAGCATGTAGGGGAGCCACAGAGAGAGCGAGGAGAGAGAGAAGGAAGAAAAAACACCACAGCAAGAACCACAGCGTCAAACGTAACACCTTTCAAGTGAGTGGGGAGTAGCTTTGGGGGGGATTTAGCTTTTTTTCTTATTAAACATTAAACTTTGTGTATTTAGAAAATCTAATTGAAGAAGTCCTACTAATTAAGGTCTACTTAAAGCAACAACAAAAACACTGACAAAGACTTTACCCTAGGTCTGTCCTGCATATCTGTCAAATGGATTCAAAAACGTTTGAGCAACTATAAAAAAAAAAAATATGCAGAACCCAGTTTAGCAGATCACCAGAACTTAGTTTTTGTGAACCAAAAACGTACCTCAGAAACCATTCCTGAACTGGGTTTGCAAATGCTGCAGGTTTAACGAGTTTTACACAAACTATTCCACAACTTTGCTTCTGTTTGTTTTTGTTTTTGACAGATTCACTAAACCACTTTCTGCTGCCACAGATCTGCTGTGGGTGAGAAAAGATCTTGAGAGCATATGTTGTATGGTATATAGAGCACAGTTTTACTTAAGAAGTGAGAAGTTTAAGTCTTCTCAGCTTCTTAAAATTGTGACTCTTGAAATTATGTTGAATGGGAAATATTATCGCGTAAAGTTATCTGTGTAGGTCATAGCCTTACCTTGACAAATGAATTGGAACCACCATACAGAAGCGAATATGTGAAGATCTGATGTTATGACATTTCCAGAATTTCAATACACTCAACCTGAGATTGACTCATCAGTTTCATTTACTTACAAACTATGTTTCAGATTCTGAACCAATTTAAAAGAAATGTCTTGAAGAGAAATGCCTGATCCTGAGTGCTGGCTTTGTAGCTGGGTGGATATGTTCATCAGTCGTTACATTTTGTGTCTTTGGGTGTTCCCTTAGGTCATTTAAATTAGTTGTACAATTTCATTTTTGTTCAAATAAATAACCTTCAATCATAAAAATATTGATTCGAAGACAGTGCATCAGATTTTTTTATTTTATTTTTTGCAATAGTTTCTGGAAGTGTAAGATGTTACAACTTCTTGACATGTTCACAAAATGTTCTTATTGAACATTTTGATTGACATTTGGAATGGCTAAGGTCAGCTTTTCTCACAGGAATTTAAATAATTTTGTAATTTAGATCATGTGCGAGTCTCCTGGCCAGTCACATGGAGTACACACTAATTCAGGAAAATCACGTTTCATACTTATCTAATGTCGTAGTATTTTCCTTTGCTAGTTCCTTTTCAGAAGAGGAAGTTTCATCAGCTTTCAGCTTTCTTTGATTTGGCCAACATTCAGCAGTTGTTTAGAGATAAATACATTGAGATCAAATTAAGGAAGAAAAATAGGTGATTAAAATGCGCCAACTTATTTCAGTGCATCACAAAATAACTTGAGAGTTAAAAAAAAGCAATAGTACAATCTCCAGCTCCAATTTCAAGTCATTAAGTGAGGATTCATTTGGAAGTTCATACAGTGAGAAGGAGCAAGTAATGAGTAATTAGTGAGACCCGATTAATGACTGATAAAGTCTGTTTGAGAGCAATTATTTACCAATTTTTGACAAAAACTGCCATTGAAAATGCTACAGTTCTTAAAGCTTTCAACTTTTAACTAGTTTTGTTGCTCTTTTTCATATGCTTTATACCTCCAGTCACTGTCCCAAACACTGCATCACCCAGACAGAATGCTATGTAGTGATTTATTTTTTAATACAGTCTGTGTTTTACTTGCTATGGTAAAACTGCACTACACTACCTTTTCTCTGCTGCCCTGTCAAGCCACTGAAACTCTATTGGTCTGTTTTCTGTTTTCTCATACGTAGTTTGATGCTAAATGTCAAATCGAACTTGTACTACATGTGGGATGAAAGTAAAGTTTAAATACTAATGAATATGAATGAATGTACATATTTTTATTAGTCCCAGAGCGAAATTCACATATTTCACTACAACCTGTCCAAATCAAACAAAACTGTCTAACTGTCTGATATGACATTTAGAATAGAATAGAACTGACACAACTGATTCATCTGCTGTCTGATATGACATTTAGACAGGTGTCTGAGGATGGAGGGGGGAGGCGCCACCCTTTAGAGCAGCCTTTCTCAAACTGTGGTCCCTGGACCACTGGTGGTCCACAGCCGCCCTTTGCTGTCCGCAGGGTGCTGCCTGTAAATGACTGTTGATTTGTCATGACGTGAGCTCAAAGTGTGACGCGTACAATTAGCTTACCAAAGGATCGTGTTTAAAAACAAGAATGGAGACATGGCTTAAAACTGGGTCACTCAAAAGAAAAACTGAAAACACCAGTGGAACGAAAACAACATCAGCACTACTTATATGATCGGAGGAAGCCAAGTCATACCTGTTGAGAGTGTTGTTCCCCAGCGAATCGATTCTTTTGGTCCTCAGCCTGAAAAAGTTTGAGAAGCACTGCTTTAGAGGTATGCAAGAAGACTACAGCTATTGTCAAATGCTTATGTTACTTTGGCTCAGACATAGAGAAAAACAACAGACATCTGGAGTTGGTAACAGAGAGAAAGCTTTCAACAGTACAATTTGAATAGAACTGATACTGATTCATCTCCTGTCATCAGCAATCCTTTTGTACTGAAAGAAGAAACAAAGAGTAAAAACTGCTTTGAAAGACAGAACGGATTTACCCGACACATCATAAACTCACAAAACCACCAACCACCATGTTGGTTTGACTGTTGGCACATTGCACCAAGCCATTTTATCCTGGCCCTGGCATGAACTCAACCCAATCCCTGAAGAAGGTCTTTTTTTATAAGGAAGACAATCTGCTGCAGCGATACTGGCTTCAAGGCAATTAATCAACATATCTTTAGTCATCGTCAATTTACATAACTATTTATTTACTTTCGGGACGTGAATAAAAATGATGCTACAGTGTCAATTGTTTGTTTTTTTATATACATAATTTTTGCCACTAGTGGCCTTTAGGCAACAGTAATCTGACAGCAAGAGGGAAAGACATATGGCAAAAGGAATCGAGGATGGGACTCGAACTCAGCATAGCCGTACCAAGGTCTGTAGCCTCTGTAAACAACCCCAGAAGTGCTTGGCCGATTTTGATGTATTTATACTTCATACTCTCAACAATTTGAGCTACTCTGACACTGGCCCTCTACTGACTTTGAGCACCACTGCAGTAAACACTTCCAACAGATACCAGACTTTGATTGACGAGCTGCTCTTTTGGCTCGGGCTGAACATAAAAGAAAAAGTGCTGGTTTTGCTGCCCTGCGCACTAACCTCACATGAGGAAGAACCAGTTTCTAAACCTATGTGCTGCTAACCAATATGATAGTGAATGACTGTCAGCAGATACTCAGAGAACATATGATGTGGGAGCGTTTTAGGGTTATTTTTGCTAATAAAATTCCTACGTTCAAAGGAGTGAAATATTAATGAAGAAAATAGGCACAAAAGATCATTTTACAAAGTCAGTGAAAATATAGAAATGTACATGCTAACAGAGGACCAAGTTGAATAAATGAAGAGCATTTCAAATACTTAGAAAATTAGTGCATGTCCAAGAACTGATTCTAAATTTTTTCCCACCAAGAAAAACAAAATGTCCTTGTGACCAGTGTCGTTCCAAATCTTTGCAAGTATCGAAATACAATTCTGGATTTTATTCACAGGTTTGACTTTTACAGTATTTTGTAAAATGGGGATCTTATTGTTCTCTCATCTTCAACAATTTATGACCAATAAACCCCCCAAAAAAGTAAACAAAGAAATGGAGTTCCACATAAATAAGAGGGCAAACTGCAAGAGAAGTAGAAACAAGACAACTGCAAAGCACAGCAAACATGAAACTAGAACTTGACATTAGTCATAATGAGACCTATTTCTCTGCAAATGAAACCTGGATTGCTTGCATAAGTTCATAAAAAATAAAATTACTGTAGGTAAGAAGGATGGGTTTAAATATATGATCATGGTTATGTTGTCTGTCCCTTTATTTTTATGACATATTAATAGAATAAAAGGCTATTCAATATAGTAGGGGGAAATATAGGAAATTGATTCATACCAGCTTAAAAACATTTTGTAATCAATCACCTGACAACACAGTCAAATCCAAAGGAGTGAAATTTGAATGAATGAAGTTATCTATAACCGATCATAATGAAAGTGCTATAAAAATACACTTAATCTATTTTTGTGCCCCTTATCTGTGTTAAATCTCTTGTTTAATGATTTCATCAGAAACCCCTTTCAGAGAGGTTGTCACTCTCTTCAGAACCTCAGATATATTATCACACCTTTTTTTTTCATGGTGTTGCTTTTCCCGTCTGCACAGCCACAGATGCATGCAACATGACACCTGTCAGAGCATTGCATTTAAATGTCTATTTCCCCTTCACTCAGCTTATGTGCAAAAGGTTCCTGTTTGTTCACACCTTTTCTCTCCTTGTCTGCTCTGCAGTAATTTCTTCAGTTTGTGGTCAGAGAGGCAGGTGGAAGCGCAAGTATCTGCGAAACACGAAGCAGTGTCTGTTTTTTTCCACCCTGCAACGAGACTATTTAAGAGACTTTGTTTGAGCAAAGCTGTTTGTATCTTTGTCTTTGGTGCCATCACAGTTTTCACATGTTAGGGGAAGGCTGGTATCCTCTGTGGTTTAAAACGCAGCCGCTGAACAGAGTGGTTTATCTAAATATCCACCAAGGTGCTCTTGGCACACTTTGAACTTGTCACATATGATTAGCTCTCAAGGTTTGGAAGTTACTGGATTGATATATTCCATGTGACCAATAGCAGCACACTACATCTAAATAGAATATGATCCATTTCAAATATACACTTCTTAACAGCAAGTGTGCTCTTAAATTAATGTTTTGTTTAAATAGGACGCTATGAAACCATAGAAATTAAGGAAGTGAAAGAAACAAAACACATGCTAGTTTTGTTTCCTAAAATTCTGTTTTGTTTTTAGTCAAGTTACCAAGGTTGAAAAAATATTAAAAATAAATGCATTAGGTCGCATTTAGACGTCCAAATGCAGAGGTTGAAATCAGTGTTGCTCATTCAACTTCCTGCTGTGACGTAATTGTAGAGTCGCATAATCCTTATCTGAAAATTTGTTGCAGGATTCAGTTAATGCTTAGGATGACAGAAAAGTTTCAGAAGGCAAAGTTAATTTTGGCAGTATAGTTATCAATCAACAAGTTGGGTTCATGATTGTTTTTTCTTAGATTCTGTCAATTTATTCCAAGTAAGTAGATAATACCGCCACATGTTTGGTTAATCAATGTATCAACATTCAAAGGAGTCGATTCTCATGAGAAAAATATTGTGATTGCAATGAAGTGCTTTGCAACCACACAGAAGTTGGGGTTACAGCTATTTCTTTACTTCTGTAAACAGAATGTTTCCTTTCTTTGGAGTTATTTAGTAAAAACTCAAGTGGGAAGTTTTGGTTTTCTGAATTACTTCAGTCTTTCAGGTTTTGCTCTGTTTTAATTAAACTACGCTTAATATTTGGACTATCCCAGTAAGGACTGGGCCACAACAATGGTGTTTATTTGTTCATTTGAGGCTAAGCACTGGCTGCATGAAGGATGCAGTAAGGGAAGTAGTCTGCTGTTCTTTGCAACACCTTAAACACACACTGACGTGCACATGCATAGAGCTGCAGTGTTACTAAGGCAATACTAACAATGTTCATAACAAACATAAGGACAACATGACCATTTAAAAACTTACCATTTCTTTCTTGGTAAGAGAGGATTAAAAAAAAGTCTAACTTACCAACTCATACACCTTTGCCTTTATTGTTGAAGACACAGGTGTCAATAGTTCTGGCGCTATCCATGGTCTTTCTTTGCTATGCAGGCTTGATAGCAAGCAAAGCCAGCCAGCTCAATGATAATGTTGCTGCTGTTCCTCAATTTTTCAAAAGACATAATAAGAGAAACTGAGCTCTCAGTGATGCTTCAAGAAGAGTCAAAAATATGGATTTCTAGAGCTGTAGGTTGTTGTTTTTTTTGGCAACCTCTCTTGGTCATTACAAACACAAACAATCTGAGCTTAGATATGTTACTTAGACATAGAGCTATAACCAGGTTATGTAACCAGGTTGTTGTGTACGTGTTCCAGACTTCTGCCCTGGTCCCTCTTGAAAATGAGATGTAGATTCTCAATGTGGAGAGAGAGAGAACTGAGGGTACAGATTGATCCGGAGAAGGGATCTGGGAAGTCTAATGGTTAGGAAAGGTGAGGCCAACTTGGAAATTAATCTTTGTAAAGCAGTTAAGCAATAATGACTTACGGTTCTGGGAAGGAGAGCAGATGTTGAAGGGAGGGAGTGATCCTGGTTATGGTTGGTACTGATTGAGTTCCCGGGTAATTTCCAAATGGTTCCCGAACAGAGTGCATCAGAGAGCAGGCAAGCTGAGAGTGAGAGAGCTGCTGTGGATGATCATGGAGGGAATGGATATCCTTACGGAATCATAACAAGGAAGAGGTTTGATGTAAGGATCGCGTGAGGGAGGCGTGGAAGCCATTAGACTGAGCTCCACCTCAGAGGCAAAAAAAAAAGCACAAAGAGTAAACATGGAGCAAAGCACAGTTATTTACTGCTAACTGTGAAGAAGTAAATATTTACAAGATATGGCTGACTTGACTCTATGAGGAAAGACTGAATGTTGTGTAACGACTGGTCACAGACAGCTTCTTAAAGCTCCAGCAGATTATATAATTACAAACAGATGTGGAGTCTGTAGCTGGTGGGCCTTCCTCTCCAGCAGAAATCCTCTCATGTGTGAGAAACAATCTCACACGTGCACAAAAAAACACAACCATTCTCCAGCATATAGTAGCGCCATGTAAAACTTGAACGACAGAAACAAAAAGAGCAGAATTATTTGTGTTTTTAGTCAAATTATATTGAGAAAAATTTTACTGACTAGGACAACATGTAGATGGATTCGGTTTATCCTTGTAAGTCTGATTACCGGCTCTCAAGGATAAACTTTAATTGTGACGTATATTGTGAGTTGGAATTATTCAGACTGAATTTAACTCAGTGGAGAAACTGCTGTTTTAAAAGTACTGGTAGGATGATGAATGAGAAATATGAGTGGAGTAAGAAACAGGTCAAATGAGGAATCAGAAGGACGTTTTTGTATCCAGAGAATGACCAAAGAACTTTTAGATGCATCAGTGGTCCAGCACCCATGAATCAAATGGCCAAATTTCAGTGGTGGGAAGTAACGAAGTACAAGTACTTCGTTACTGTACTTAAGTACA